CCCGCGACGCGGCATGAAACACAACAATGGGCGCCTTGGATCAGCAGGGGGAAGATCTGGGCGAAGATCTGCCGGGAGATCAGGGGAGTGTCCAATGGAAGATTCTGCGCGGTGGACCAAGCGATAAATCTGGAGGAACACGTGGCGTAGGATCTGGGGGAGATCTGAGGGGAGCATATCGGATCTAATATTTGGCGGGTAGTCTGGAGGAAGATCTGGAGGGACATCTGAGGGAAGATCTGGTGGGGGATCTGGGCGAAAATCAGGGGAATGTGCTGAGGGAAAATTGGCGGTGCAGTGCGTCGCAAATATGCAGCAAGACTTGCGGGGAGATCTCGGGAAGATCTGGAGAAACATCTGAGGGAGAAGATATGGGGAAACATCTGGGGGAAGTTGTGGGTGAAGATCTGGAGGAAGATCTGGAAGATCTGGGGGAAGATCTGAATCAATATCTGGGTGAATATTTTGGGGAAGCACAGCAAAAGCTCTGCGGGACAACATCGGGAAAAAAACAGAGGAAATATCTGGGTGACGATTTGTAGCAAGATCTGGGGGAAGATCTGGCGGAAGATCTTGGGAAACATCCGGGGGGAGATTTGGGGAAAGATCTGGGATACAATCTGGACTAATGTCTGGTGGAAGATCTGGGCGAAGATCTGGAGGAACATTCGTGGAAGATCTGGGAGAAATCTGGGGGAAGAGCTGGAGGAAGATCTGAAAGAAAATCTGGGGGAAGATCTCGGGGAGGGTCTGGGGGAAGATCTGGGGGAAGATGTGGGGGAAGATTTGGGGGAAGTTTTGGAGGAAGGTCAACGGGGAAATCTGGGGAACATCTGGGGGAGGATCCGGGGTAACATCTCGGGAAAGATTTGCGGAAAAAGGTAGGGGAAGATCTTGGGTGAGATCTGGGGGAAAATCTGAAGGAACTTCTGGGGAAATCTCTGATGGAAAATCTGGGCGAAAATCTGGAGGAACATCTGGGGGAAGGTCTGGGGGGAAATCTGGAGGAAGATCTGGTGGAAAGTGTGGGCGAAAGTCTGGAGGAACATCTGGAGGAAGATCTGGGGGAAGATCAGGGGAAAGAGCTGGAGGCAGATCTTAAGGGAGATTTCGGGGAAGATCTGGGGGAAGATCTGGGGACAGATTTGGGGAACAGCTGGGGGAACATGTGGAGGAAAATATGGGGGAAGATCTGGGGGGAGATCTGGGGGGAAATCTGGAGGAAGATCTGGGGTGAGATCCGCGGAGAGATTTAGGGAAAGATCTGGGGGAAGATCTGGGGGGGAGATCTCGGGGAAGACCTGGAAAAAGATTTGGAGGAAAATCTGGGGGAAGAGCTGGGGAAGATGTGGGGGAAGATATGGGAAAACATCTGGAGGAAGATCTGGAGGAAGATCTAGGGGAAGCTCTGGGGGGAGATTTAGGGGGGGGGATCAGGGGAAAGATTTCGGGAAAGATTTGGGGGAAGGTCTGGGGGAAGATCTGGGGGGAGATCTGGGGGAAGATCTGGGGGAACATCTGGGAGGACCTTTGGGAAAAGATCTGGAAGAAGATCTGGGGGAAGATCTGGGAGAAGACGTATAAGCGAAAATCAGAGGGACATCCAGAGAAAGATCTGGAGGATGATCTGGGGGAAAGATCTGGGGGAAGATCTGGGGGAAGATGTGTGGGAACATCTGGCGAAAGATCTGGGAGGAGATCTGGGGGGCAGATCTAGGGGAAGATCTGGGGGGAGATCTGGGCGAAGACCTGAGGATAGACCTGGGTGAAGACCTAAGAAAAGATTTGGGGGAAGATCTAGGTGAAGATCCGGGGGAGATTTGGGGGGAAAAGGAGGAGAAGATCTGAATAACGATCTGGAAGAAGACTTCAAAATCCAAGCGACGATCTGGGAGGAGATCTGGGTGAAGATCTGCGGGGATATCAAATGAAACGTCTAGAAGAAAATCTGGGCGAATATCTGGCGGACCATCCGGAGGAAAATCTGGGGGATGTTAACCGTGACGACTTTTAAATCTAGGTGTTCGAATATCAACTCGCGCGATGACGGCAGGGCATGAAACACAACAGTGAATTTTAACCATGCGGTTTTAGACTAGGCCTGCGATGCTGAGCCCGGGCATGCCGTCCTAGATTTGTTGAACGCCCTGTAAAGAGCTGCCGGCGTGTCCAGACTTTCATCAAATAGCTGCTGCAACGCCCTCGGGGCAATCCTTAAAGGACCTGCGGCCACGCTCTTTCAGAACGCGGCGCAGACGCGGCGCAGTTGAGGACCAGCTGGCGGAGATAGTGGCTCCCACCTCTGAGCGTCCTCTGGCACCCCGAGCGGCCCAAGGCCCTGGCAGCTCCACACCTCCTTCCGTCTGGACAGGGCTCGCTCGGCGGGTGCATGGGGTTCTCCGCATACAGCAGCACCACCGACCCCCTCCTTCAATCCTGCAATCTTCGTGGCACGATGTGCTTGCCACGATCCGCCCCCGATGAACGCTTGGTGCGCCCATTCCTTGAACTTCGCATTCCTGACAAATGGATATTGTCGCACTTGGTGTTGCAATTCCTTCAGGACGGCCTCGACCTCGGCCAGGAAGTCGCCCGCCGTGAATACCCTGAACCCACGACGAAAGAAGGCGTCAACCCATTCAGGTGGCTCCTCGAGAACACCAGCACTGCTCAACATCCGCCTGAAGAACGCCAGGGCGCCTGTAAGCAAGCCTGCGATGTCGCCACACTGGTGGGCGCCTAGGGTGCACATCGCATTGGCAGCCTGCGGCCTCTGGATCGTAGTGACCACGAGCGAGCGCGCGGCGCCTAGGTGCTCAGCCCACGTAACCGCCGCACCCCGCGCCCGCGCCTGCTTGCCCTGCTGTGGCCCCATGCGCGGTGGCTTCCACTTGCGAGCCACCCACTTGGCGCAGCTAGCTCCTCCCCGACCACTGCTTCCAGCCCGATCTCTGCCAGTCGCGCCCCATCGGTCGAGCAGTTCTCCCTCCTCCTCCATCAGCGCCACGTCCCATGCTACCTGGAGGCCCGTCTGGGTCGAGGCAGCGTCGCTTAGGCTCATCACTCTTTGCCAGTCTCTGGGGATTCTAGCGCAGCCGACAGGAGGAATCGCTCCGATCGGAGCTGGCTCGTCAAGCACCCTGCACCACATGGGAACACCCACCACCTGCAGCTGATAAGACACTGGCCTGTGTGGCGAGGCAAACGCGGCCTCATCCGCTACGGGTGGCCTGACGTTGGTGAACAGGTTGGCAGCCGCCAGAGCGCAGTCGATCACCGACCCCTTCCCATCCCGACGGCACGCGGCGTCTGCGGTCGCCATCGCGACACCACCCAACGCGTGGATCCAGTTACAGCCCAGCTCCTCAACCGCCATGCAAACACCTCGCAGCGCAACCCAATCCACAGGCATATGATCACATGCACATACTAGGTATACTGAGACGAACGCAATGCCCCTCTTCGCCCCCCAACGCGCGCGAGCAGCCACCAGCCTTTCCTCTTGGAGCAATGGCGATGCTGTGGCTGGCGGCCTCGCGAGCGAAATATGGTTCTTAGCGGGAACTGCCACCCCGCGGACATGCCGATCCACTGCTGGCGGAGATAGCAAGCGCCCAGATGCCGTGATACCCAGCGTCACGGCGCCTGGACTGCACTCGGCCCAGCTTGCCAGCCGTGCGCGGTGCTCTTGCACCGCAACGATGGCGCGCCCAGGCGCGCCACCCATGTAGTCGCACAAGGGGCCGTGGGAGGTGGAGTTGGCCGCGGCGAAGTACCCCTTGCACTCTCCAGCGTGGCGCGTCTCACTCTGACGGAGCCTCCTCCTGTCGCGGGCAGCAGCACCTGGCGAATTGCACATGGAACGGTTGCGCGGCTGCGCCGCCCCTGGGGGGAGGGCACTGGGGTGCTCGGAGAGCTGCCCCCATACCCTCACCTGGCCAACACGCCGTCCCCCGCGGCAGTCAGCGGCAAAGCCTGGGGGGGCGGCCTCAGGGTGCTCGCCGAGCCCCCCTCCCAACACCCCCCGCGGCAGACGGACCCCGCCCGCGCTGCCGCGCAGGCAGCGGCGCGATTCCCGCTCATCGCGCCGACAACGACCCCCGAACTGGGGCCCGCGGCGCTGCCGACGGCAGCGCCGACGGCAGCCCTCGAACGGGGGTCCGCCGCACTCGGAGGGCCCGAGGGCCTCGCGACTGCCGCGCCCACCACCGCCTCGCCAGGCGCGCGAGCAGCTACTAGGCGCATTGGCCCACGTGGCGGCTCACTGCCTAGTAGCAGCGATGGCACACTAGGGCTTTGCGCTCTAACGCCAGACGAGGGCGCGCGCTAACTTACCGATGTCCGCAGCCCAGGGGAAGCACGTCACTGGCCATCTGGGGAGGTAGACGACGTCGCCATCAGCATGGACGACGTCCTCAGCCCAGTCCCTGGCCGTCTGAGGAAGTAGCCGTAGTCGCCCTCCGACGCGTCGCTGTCCCTGGCCCAGGGGAGACGCATCCCTGGCCATCTGGGCAAGTAGCCAGCATCGCCATACGCCCAGCAGCAGCCCCCAGCCCAGGGGAAGAGCGTCCCAAGCCATCTGGGGAGGTAGCCGTCGGAGCCGTCCGATCCGCCGCTGCTCCCAGCCCAGGGGGGGCACCTCCCTGGCAATCTAAAAGCAGCAGTGCAATAGCGCGGCTCGAACCGAGATCCGCTCCTAGTTCGTCGTCCGCCCCCCAGTCCAGGAGTGCGAACGGGTCGACCTCGCTCTCGCCCAGCATCGTTCTGGGGAGAAAAGGGGGCCGCATCAGCACGCAGCGCGAAATCCTCTCCAATGGCGCCACCTGCAGACGCAACAGACATCAACGTCATGATTTGGATCGATACCAACTCAACACGTAAGAAACATCCAACTCTTAGCACGGAGAAAAGGCACTGGTTGTTTGCCTGGTCTGCTTGGCCAGCAGTCGCGCTTCGTCTTCAGCATCAGGGGCCTTGTGACCTGCCGCCAGGACGAAATCCTTGACAGCCTCAGCGGCTTTGCGGCCTCGGGGTTGTCTGGCGGGGCTGCAGCTGCGTCTGCTTCGCCCCCTTCAGGCTCTGCAACGCGGGCCTTCTTCGCCACCATCTCGGCGAGCCTGCCGCGGAGCACCTTTGGCAAGGACTCGACCAGCTCGCCACCTCCAGCAGCTCGCACGGCCTCCTCCAAGTCCGCGAGGGCGATCTCCACATCGCACAGCTGCGCGCTGTCCCCTGTGCTTGTCGAAGGTGGTTTGGCACTGATGGACCCCGCCTCCCGCATGGTCGGCTCCTCCTCGAGCACATCCTTGCGATACTGGTCGAACGGCGCACTATCCTTCTCGATCTAGGCCTGCAGCACTGCATGGTGTTTCGACTTGGCCGCGACCGCAGCCCCGGCCTCCTCGATGCGCGCCTTGATCCGCCTTTCTCGCTGAGGCCATTGAGCTGCACCGCAAGTGGTTGCGCACAACGCAGCTCCGCCAGGATGCCAGCGTGCTCCTTCTGTAACGCTGCACGGTAGGCTTGGGCACGCTTGGAAGCATCATCCTTGGTGCACTCGAGAACGCCGTCGATCTCAGCGAGCCTCTGCTTCTTCGCCCTTCGTCAGCGACCTCGGTTGCCTTGCCCTGGGCAGAGCTGCGCTTCCAGGCCTTTCGCTCGTTGTCGAAGAATGTTGCCTGCATTTGCTGCATGCGCAACTCCATCCGCTTGGTGATCCTATCCACATCCGTAACCTGACTCGACGCGCCCCCTTTCTGCTGTTTCGCATAGACCGAGGGCGCCTGTTGCTGCACAGTCTCCTTGAAAGCAGCAGTTTTGCACGTCTTGCACCTGGTGCACTCCAACTTCTCAGCCCCATTGATCCACGGCACGCCGGTGGTTTGTGGACACTTCCACCTCTGGCGTCGGTCGTCTCTGATGCCGTCGCTGTGCAATCCCATCGACACAGTGTGAGACCGTCGGAGGTGCGAGCCCGAACGGATTGGGAAAGAAGCTCACAACCTGGGCAGGCAGGCCGAGCGTAAAATCGGAGGCAGGCCGCGGACGAACGGTATCCGCTTCCCTGTCGCGGACAGCCAAGCCCTGGGCCAAACTGGCTACGGACTGCGCCCGCGCTCCCTCAGAAATGATGCTGGCCCACGCCCTCTCCGGGAGAACAAGCATCGTGTTTTTCCCTACCGCGGTGGCCTGAGCGCATCGGGCATGTGGCCGTGGCTGTCCAAAAGGGTTGTTCCGTGATTGTCCCATGGATGGTCCGTCACACGGGTGGTCCAAGAGATGTCCAGCGGTCGTCCCGTGGGTTGTCCCATGGGTTGTCCCGTGGCTCTCCCACGGATTGTCCCGTGAAGGTCATCGCATGGGTTGCCCCGTGGTTGTCGCGGGTTGTCCCGCAGCTCTTACCGCGGGCTGTGCCGTGGGCTGTCCCGTGGGTTGCCCCGGGGGCTGTCGGCCGAATGGCCCGCAGATGCCCCGCGGTTCTCCCGTTGGAGATGCACATCGACGTGCCATTGCAAATCAGCGTGTAAACCGACATGCGCATCGAAAGGCACATCGAACTGTAAATCTGGATGCACCTTCAAATCCAACTCCATCTGCAAATCTAAAACAAATCTGTTGCAATTGACGCGGCGCCGCCGGTCGGCTCCCGACGAGGACTCATCGCCGAGGGGTCTCTTCGAAATTTCGAGGCGCATTGGGAACTATTGGCTGAGCGTTCCGTGAGAGTTGACGGGCGCACTGGGCTCTTGGCCGAATGGCCCCCCGCCCACGTACCTCGATGCGCTGGCTTCGATGTTGGGGGGCAGGGGCGAATTCCCTGCTGCGCGGCTGTTTTATAATGTCGCGCTAATTATGAAGAGACCTGTAGATACACATCAACCTGCTATCATGGTGAGACTCCGATTGAAGTAGATCTGCACCTCGGTATACACATCGAAACGCAAATCAACATGCAATTCTAGGTATGCATCGACGTGCAAACCAATACGCCCGTACAAAGCAATCGAACTCTAAGTTAAATCGAACGTCGAGACGCAGTGGAACTGCAATCGAAATGTAAAACGATATAGACATCGACGTGCACCTCGAAACGCACATGAACCTGCGGCCGACAGGCCGATCTGGCCAAACACCAGATTATATATATATATATATATATATGTGAATGCACGGATGAATGCAACCAGCATCGGAATCGAACTGCACATCAACATTCAAACACGTCGCGATCGAGGTTCGAAGCAACAACAATTTAATATACCTTTAGAAACGATACTCAGAATTCAATCCTATATACGTCAGACGTTGAACTCATGATCGGGATGGCATCGAAATGCAAATCGACATATCTTTCTAAGTGCAGATCGGCATGATATCCCCGATGCAAATCGTCGGCATGCACATCGACACGAACATCGGAATTCGGAATGCAAATCAACATCCGCATGCAATCCGAATGCAAATCTACATCCGAATCAAAGAACACTCCACATGGGCATCGACATGCAATCAAACTGCAAATCACCCCCTGCAATTGCCTTACCGCACAATGGTTGTCTTCCTCTTCGGCTACTACGCCTACTGTTACTTCACTGCTGCTGCTACTACATTTACTACGGCCACGACTGCTTCTGCTACGGCTACCACTTCGACAATGACCGCTACTACTACTACAACTGCAATTCCAACAACTATTAGTATTACCACTACTACTACCACTACTACGACTACTACTACTACTACTACTACTACTACCACTACTACTACTACTACTACGACTACTACTACCACCACGACGACGATTACTACTACTACTACTACTACTACTACTACTACCTACTACTACTACTACTACTACTACTGCTACTACTACTACTACTACTACTACTACTACTACTACGCTACTACTACTACTACTACTACTACTACTACTACTACTACTACTACTACTACTACTACTACTACTACTACTACTACTACTACTACTACTACTACTACGACTACTACTACTACTACTACTACTACTACTACTACTACTACTACTACTACTACTACTACTACTACTACTACTACTACTACTACTACTACTACTACTACTACTACTGCACTACTGTGACTATTAGAACTACTACGATCAGTATAACCAATACGGTCACTACGACCACAACTACTGCAACAACCACAACGACTACTGTTACTCCCGACGGGTTCTTGCTAGCTCATTTCGACCTCCCCCCGCTTGAGCCTCATCCGCAGCAATCCTGCCTTGCGCTCCCTCATCCTCATCCCTCCCATCCCCACACCCTGCGTTTTCCTGCTGCTCCGCCCCCCCATGAAACCCGTTGTGGCTCTGCGATCCCGCTGAGCTCCACGACGATCTGGCTGAACGGTCTGTCCTGGACCGGGAGCACCAGGAGGACGGGAAAAGAGAACAGGGAGAACGCGGAGGAGGAAGGGCATTCGGAAAAAACGAAGAAATGTTGATGATAAACAGACTAACGCGCACGACGTATGCTGCAATAAATGGTCCCACTCAGTATCCTCTCCTGGTACGTCAAGACAAGCGTTCCTCACTGTAAATGCGACGAGAGCCATGTCACATGATGAAGGCCTGCTAAAATGGGGAAGCCCGTGCACTTCGACACGCGCAACACCGTTCGCCACAACCGCTGCTAGTTTACAGCCGTTGACCATAGTCACACCCAGTGAGGACGTTGAGAGGGGCACCCATGATTTCTCAACGATAACAGCGCCAACGCAGCAACGCGAGATGGGCACCCACGAAGCCCACCCGCCCTTTGGCCGTGCATGGCTTCGGTAGAATTCTTTTCCATCTTCCCTGTTCCCCTTCGGGGACGGGTTACTCACGCTTCATTGTCCGCCACCGTGCCGTAGGGCACGGGGTGGGTGTCCTCAGGTCCTTTTGCCTAATCCCCTGAGCCTCAGCCCTCACTCCTGAAGAAACGCCAGCACTCAAATATCCGAAATCTCTTTGGCATTGTCGCGTGCCCCCTGGGTTTTGAAACGTGGTGGCGCGAAAAATATTTCGGGCCCAAGAGGGCCCCAAAACAGGCCATGAGGGCCCCAAGAGGGCCACGAGTCGCCGAACGATCGGCCCAAGACGCCCAAGACACCCAGAAAGCCCAACAGGCCTCCAAGACGCCCCGAAAGGTCTTCAAAAAAAAACCCAAGAGGGTGAAGCAACATGATCGATCCACGAAACCGGACAAGAAAATTGACATGTAAGGCATGACAACTTGCCAAAGACACCTGATTCACCGACGGGCACACGCAATGCTGACTGGATCGATCTTGATCTACCGTGCCAAGGGCACGCGCTACGGGACGTGCCAATGGACGTGCCACGGGACGTGCCAGGGGACGCGCCGCGCGACGTGCCAGGGGGACTTGCCACGGGACGTGCCACGGAACGTACCAGGGAACGTGCAAGGTTGCAATGATGACTGTGTTGATCTTGATGTACTTGTGCCGAAGGCTGTGCTGCGCTGCGCCGTGTTGAACTGCGATGTGCCATGCCGCGACTGTGCTCTATGGCACTGTGGATCGAGTACTCCTTCGCATCCGAGTACCGGCCGAACTGATATGGATCTTAGGTTCGAGTTGCCTGAGCACGTAGTAGTTGCCCCAGATATAAGTGGCATGGGGGGCATGCTAGGAGGACGCGCCGCGGAACGTCCCGAGGGACGCGCCAGGCGACGTGCCAGGGGACGAGCCATGGGGACGCACCGCGGGACGTGTCAAGGGGCCGCGCTACGGGACGTGCCAATGGAAGTGCCACGGGACGTGCCAGGGGACGCGCCGCGCGACGTGCTAGGGGGACTCGCCACTGGTCGCGCCAAGGAACATACCAAGAAACGTACCAGGTTACTATGCTGAGCGTTATCGATATTGATGTAGACATCCGCCTGGGCGACCAGGACGCGTGAAAACAAGCTCTTCGCTCAGGACATTCCCAACACATCCTCACGCTAGACATCCACCTGGGCAGCCTGAACACGCGCAAACACGAGCATCGCTCGAGACTTCCTCAACACATCCTCATGCTAGGCATCCACCTGGGCGACGTGGACGCGTGAGAACAAGCGCATCGCTCGAGACATCCTCAACACATCCTCATGCTAGACATCTGCCTGGGCAACCTGGACGCGTGAAACCAAGCGTCTCGCTCGAGACATCCTCAAGACCTGGGCACGTGAATACACGCACTCCAATTGAGAGATCCTTTGAATCCTATTCCCCAGGAGAAGACAATCTATAATACAAAACAAGCGCCTAGCTCGAGACATCCTCAACACATCGCCTTCCCGGGAAAAAACAATGATTTTCGCTCGGTCATCGAAGGACTTGGGCGTCATCTCATTCTCGGCTCCCCGACGCTCCAAGACGGCCGAAAAGGCCCCCAAGACCACCGCAAAACAGCCCAAGATGCCTCCCAGTGGGCACCCAGACGGCCTAAGAGCGCCCCAAGACGGCCCAAACGGCGCCGAAGACGGCCCCACAATGGCCTCAAGACGGCCCCGCCAGGGGCCCAAGAGAGGAAACACGAACCGAGAATCCGAGCCTTCCGCCGCAAGGGGCCCCGGCAAGGCCTAAGGAGGCGCGCAGAAGGCCCCAAGGGGGGCCCCCAAGAGGCTCCCGGGATGCCCCGAAAGGCCACGCAGATGCCCAAAAGAAGCCCAAACAGAGGCCCCACAACTTCCCCCCAGATGCCTCCACCCAAAGGCCCTCGAGAGGCCTCCCAGGAGGTCCCAGCGGGCATCTCACAGGCTTTGCACCCGCAGCCCAAGCAGGGTGGCGGGATGGGCCGAAAGCCATTAGACCTGGCCCGGCACAGAAACGGAAAGAGCGCTGCAGCAACAGAAACCGAAATGACTCACACCACCGTTCGTACCGGGAGCCTTGGCGTTGAGAGCTAGTTACGTCACCCCTCGTTCTTGTGAGCCTTGGGGTTCAGAGATTGTTGCGTGGCCGCCCGTTCCTGAGCCTTGGGTGGGCCTTGGTGTTAGGAACTTGTTACGTCACCGCTCTCTGCTGGGAGCCTGGGTCTTTTGAGCTTGTGTACGTCACCGCTTGCTCTTGGGAGCCTTGGTGTGAAGAGTTTTTTGCATTACCGATCGCTCTTGGCGTCTCTGGGCCTTCGTGGGAGTCCTATTGGGGCCCTCGTCGGGCCCTCCTGGTGGCCCCTTGGGGGCATGCTGGGGGCCTCTTGGGGCTTCTTGGGGGGCTCTTGGGGCCTCCTGGGAGCGTCTTTGGGCGAAAGGCTAGACTTTCGGGTTCGTGGTCCCCCTCGGGGTCTTGGGGCCTTCTTGGGCCGTCTGGGGCGCCTCTTGGGCCGTCTTGGCGCCCTCTTGGGTCGTTTTGGGGGCCTCTTGGAAGCCTCTTGGGCCGCCCGTGCTGCCCAGCAAGGGCGGGGGGGTGGGCGGGGGGCGCTAGGCGTTGTCCTGGGGCCGTGACTCCAGGTAGCTTACTAGGAGGGCTGTGCGCCACCGGTGGCACTGGTGCCCACTTTGCTAAGTCACTGTCCTCCGTGGAGTTGCGTTTACCTTTGTGAAGCTCCGTCCTGGCGAAGATTTCGATTGGGGTCGTGGAGTCACGGGCGTGCTCCACTCGGCTGGGCAGACGGTTCCCCGCGCAGAGCTTGCGGCCATCGTCGAGTGTTTGCGCTGTGTGGACCCTGCCCGAGCTCTGCGCGCGGTCACCGACCACGCTAACATTCTCAAAGGTTTCCTGGCGGGCCGTCCTGCCTATGCGAGGCTGGCGAATGTTGAATTGGTGGGAGCTCCGGCAGCTTCTCTCGGAGCGCTCGGGTATGTTCCCAGCCACCTGCTGGAGGACCCCGAAAAGCTTGCCCGTCTCGGCGACTCTGTGGACTGGGGACATGTTGTGCTCAACTCTGTGGCCGATGAGCTCGCCAACTTGCGAGCCCAAGGTTGCCATATCCCTGCTGTTGTTGTCAAGGATTCCAATGAGATCGTTCCCATTGCCTGCCTCAACCTCAAGCGCACTGCGTCCATGATCCTCGAGAGCGCGGCTCTTGAGGCACAGCCAGACCGTCGGCTGCGTAAGCAGCCGTTCGATTTGTTGCTCTGCGCGCGTCGGTGGATCGAAGCTGATGTGAGGGGCTCTTCGCACGTCTGGGACTTCGGTTTGTGGTTTTGGGCGCCTGGGATGTGCAAGGCTTAGATATCCGACGTCGCCCTCTTTCTTCGAGCGAGGTTTTGCTCTGCCTGTCCTGCTTCTGGAGGAGGTGGAATTGTTTTTTTTCTGTGGAGGCGGAGGAAATCACGACCAAGAAATGGGCGAGGCCTGGCCGGCCTCTTCCTACGAGGGACGACTCCCTATGGCGTTCTTTGCGGCCCGACCCGCCCCCTAAGCGAGTCTCGCCTTGGGCTGCTGGGAAAGCAGTCCATCCCTCTCACGCTTGTAGCAGAAAGGTGCTTACACGTTCTGCGGTGAATGTGGCTCCTGGGCAATAGCTCGCTCGCCAAGTCTTTCTGCGGGAGCCCTGTCCAGTGGCCGCTTGGGGGCCGTATGCTATCGCAAAGCATCGGCGCGAGGTCCTGCAGCGGGGCACCTCACACGGCGTCTGCCGTGCAAGCCGCCGTGGCCGCGGCCAGGCGGGCTGCTGCCACCCCCGCCCTTCCAGACTGGGTATGGAGGCGCCGCAACACCGCCCGCGCGTTCTCCCTGTGCAGGGAGACGGAAAGTCGCTGGGAGTGTTGGTCCGCAACCAGTGCGGCGTCTTCCCCGGTCCTCGTGGTCCTTCCCTTTTTCCTCCATCCCTTTCCCCTAGAACCAACTCCTCCCTATCGTAACTCCCAGGCGTGTCGGCAGGACGGGCAAAACGTGTCGCCTGAAACTTCTTCACCACTTATCATCCGCCCTTGCAACGAACACCTCCCCGTCGCACCCCCAGGAGAGTCGGCAGGGCGGGCCGGACGTGTCGCCTGATACCTCCTCGTTATATTCCGGATAGTTGAAGTTTGCTACATGCTACATCTTCAACGAGGTGGAGGGGGGCATTTTCAAAATGAAGCTCTCGCAGTAGTGCCGCGCACCGGTCTGTTGCAATTGCTTCAAGGATGGAGGGGGGGGCGTTCTGAAAGTGTGGCGTTTGCCTGAGCGCCGCGCACATTCGTCTTGAACGTTTGCACCAGCTTCAAGGATGGAGGGCAGTTCCTTCTCTAAATGTGGTTTTCGGCTTCGCGCCTCTTATGCGTTTGCAGCGGTTGCGGCGATTTTAACGGCTCCTTTTCAAAATGGGGCCTTCGCTTGAAAAGCCTTGAACTGAACAAACGGAACAAGTGTGCAGATGAAGGGCGGCTCATGTTCAAAATTGGGTGTTCTCCTGAGACTCCTTCAACAATGAAGATGCACGGACGGGGAGCGGTTTCGTTTCAACCTGAGGTTTTCGCTTGAGACTTTCCCAGAAGTGAGAACCTCCGCAAAAGAAGCACACACGAGGTGGTCCTTTTTCAAAACGGAGATGTCGCTGGACGCCTTTTTGAGTATGGTCATACTGTTGCGCGTGCATTATTGCTCACAGGAGGAATACAAAGCAGTTCATTTCTTGTCAAAACGGGGCGAGGCGAGGCGAGGCGCCGGTCAGTCGTCCCAGCGGGGACCGCCCTACGAGAGCCCGGCGGTGGCGCCGGAGCGCCGAGAAAGAGCCTTAGTCGAGGGGGAAGGGGGGAGGAGGAAGGACTTAGACCGTGAAGTGGGAGTTCCGCATACAATCCCCACAATTGACATTAGCCAGAAATTTCGGCTCCAACGCGGACCATGCTTTCTTGTCCGTCGCAATGTGTATCCACCTTATGTGATCGTCGTCTCCATCGTGTGTAGTGACTGTGCGTACGAATTGTGTGATTTCGGCATTCCATCGTTTCCGTTGTCCTCCGTGGCGTCATAGGGTTTGGCGTGGATCGTGGGTGTTCGGGGTCCATTGTCGTGAGAGCCGCGCCCATCTGTCGTAGTCGTGGGTTGCGACGCGCGATGCCCACCGCCACTTCCGTGTGAAGTATACCGTAGGCCAGTCCTCTATGTCTGCGCGCCGAGCACGCTCTAGGGCTGCGTGCGTCGATCTTCGCACGAATTCTTCCCATGGTTCCAACCCGTCGTCGACTTCCCTGTCGTCGGCTCTGTCGTGCTGGATGGGGAAAAGCCTGAGCATCCTCCGCTGTGCACGCCGTAAAGTGAGAAGCATGTCGCTGGTGAGGGTCCAAGAGGAGCACCCGAACATCACTGATGCTGTGGAAGCATGTCGCTGGTGAGGGTCCAAGAGGAGCCTCAGTCGACTGTGGAGTGGGAAGCGCTTCTGTGTCAGCTCGTATATTGATTGGTTAAAGCGACCCCATCCTGCGGCAATCCTATTGCGTAGCTCTGTCTCGTGGAAGTAGTGGAAAGTAAACTTCCTTCCTAAATACTTCGTGCTCTGGTCGGAACGCAGTATTTCGATGCGCTCGCCGCTGATGTCGACATGAGCAATTGGTCACCCCTCTCTCCGGCTGACGTCCGTCAGGATCTTGGTCTTGTCCAGGTGCAGTGCCAAGCCGCATATCGTGGCTTGGGATTGTACATCTCGGGGCTCTTGCGTGAACTAGGGCTCCCAACTTCGCGCTTCGCGCTGCGCGAGGCGCGAAGCGCGAATAACTTCGCGCTCTCGCGCCGCCCCCCAAAAGGGAGAAAAGGAGGACGAGGAGGAGGGGGAGAAGGAACGAGGACCGCGAAGCGCGAATAACTTCGCGCCCTCGTGGGAGCCCTTGGTGAACGGCTGGCCCAAAGGGCGTTGGTCTTGCAAGGGAGCGCTTCACGAAATGGGAGGGAAGGCTTGAAGGCACATTCGAGGAGGGGCAGTGGAACGGGAGAGCGTGTTGCAGCCTCGTTGATGCATCTCGGGTTCACTCTCCTCCTCCTCCTCCTCCTCCTCCTCCTCCTCCTCCTCCTCCTCCTCCTCCTCCTCCTCCTCCTCCTCCTCCTACTCCTACTCCTCCTCCTCCTCCTCCTCCTCCTCCTCCGCCTCCTTCTAACCAGGGACCTCCGTGGTGCCGTGGGGTGGTGGAGGGGCGGGCCAGGGCCGTCGGCAGCGCGGGCAGGGCCGGGGGGCGCTGCGAGGGGTCGCCGCCACTGGTAGGGAGCAAACGAAGGACGTACGTACCCACGTACAGCAGGAGCTCGACGGCAAGATACCTTCCACAAGAAGGCCAACCCTGACACCCCAGATCGCCCATTGGTTTGGGTGTGGGAACGCCGCGCTTTCCATATCGAGACCATCTGAACCAAAGGAGCCCAGGGTACCCTGGAGGCGAGCAGGGTGTTTCTTGGCACGGGTTTCCACTTTGCATGAACACAGCCCCCCAGTCCGTGAGACCAGCCGCGTGATACGAACGTTTGCGCAGTGCGAAATCTCGAGACCAACGTGGCCAGCCGCGGGGGGGCGCAGTGGAGGGGGGGTCCACCTGACGGCGCACCCCCTGACTTCCCCTTGGCCCTGACGCACACGCCGCAGCGCCCTCGGCGCGGCTTAGGAGACAGACGGCTTTCGGGTCGTGTTAGTTTAGGCTCACCCCCCCCCCACGCGCCCCCCCGCGGCCAGCCACGCGTGCCCAGCCCGACCCAACCCAAAGCCGGGGCAAGCGAAAATTCAAGTGCGTGCACGTCCTCTTTTCGCTCCTAAACGGAGGGGGTCGGCCTCGGGACGACAGGGCCCCAGCACTAACCTGAGCCCGCCGACTCTGTGCTGCGCGGAGGAGGAGCGGGATCGCGACTCCTCCGTCGACAGCTGCAGGAGGTCGTAGATGCTCACGAGGAGCTCGTCGCCCAGCGAGCAGCAGGCGCAGCCGTTCGACATCTGGATGAAGTCCGCGCTGCCGCTGGCGCCCACCTCTGGAGCCCCCTTCATCGCGGAGTGCTGAAGAGGGAGCGGAGCGAAGGGGCTTTTCTGGCCACGGCGAGCCTCGGGCACGAACAGGTCTCGGGGGCGGCCAAGAGGAGGACGTCCAAGAGAGGGGGGCGTAAATCATGGCCAGCGGCATGTGCGCGGCCCAGGGGGGGCGGCGGGAACGTAATGAAATAAGAAGAGGCGCCATGAAATCTGAGGAAATATCATGGCCCACGCCATGATGTCCACCCCCCCTAGTCATCACCCTCCTCCTAGCCGCCCCCGAAGGTTCCCCGAGCTAGACCCCAGGAGCGGCCCGAAATCCAGAGGCATTCCTGGGCCCGGATTGGCCATTGTTTCAGCGTCTTGACTGAGGGACGAGGCCATGATCGGGACATGATCGGTTCGGGACAACTTCACCGGGGAGCTCGGACACCCGGCAGACCTGAAGGATGTACCTGGCGCCGCGGCAGGGCCAGAGAGTCTCCGACCGCTCTGAGAGCGAGAGCGCTCTGGAGCGATCTAAACTCCGTCGTGCCCCTCTGAGATTGATCCTGGTCCTGAAGCCTGCCTGACAAGCTCCGTGGTGAGGTCGACCAACCGTGGCGGCGGCGACCCACGGCGGCGGCGGCGGCGACGTCGAAGCCAAGGGCGCTTTTTGCGGCGGCGCCGACGCACCGTGTTCCTTAGCCCCCTGGGGCAGCCCACTGTGTCGGCGATCTCTCGAGGGGGTTGCCGAAACCGATGGGTCCCTCAGGGGCGTACACCCTGCGAAATGCTTTAGAACTCATGGGCTAAGAAATTCATGGTCTCAGAATTTGAGATCAAACCCAGAATGCCTATTCAAATGTTAGGATTTACATTGAAGCATTAAGAATAATCGAGACTCTGGCCGAAAACTTGGGTTTTCTTAAGCATCGCCTGGAGTGTACGGTGAGGATCTCCTGCGCGGCGCGCCGCGGCGACGGCCCCGGCGACGCGCTGCGCCCTGCGGGCGGACGGCGCGCCGCTCCGCGACGCGGGCCTCCTGGGAAGAGCTCGGGCAGTCGACGCTGGGGGGCTGGGGCGTGGTTAGCTGCGTCGCTCGAGCAGGGACCGACCGTCCCGGCATTCTTATAGGGCGACGAAATCTATACATATCCACTGCTCCCTGGCCAGGCCCATCCTCAACCCCGCAGCGGTGTATACGCCACGCCCTCCTGGCTTGGCCAGGAGGGCGCATACACAGCTCCTGGGTTCAAGATGGGCATGGTCAGGGAGCAGTGGATATGTATAGATGTCGTTGCCCGATCTTATAGGCCTACCACGACATGTGCATGGAACCCAAACATATTCTGATAGCACCATGGACTCATCATGTGTTCCCGAGGTGTGTAAAACGAGACTGCCTCAACCAGAAATGTTATAAGAACAGTTCGCGCAGACCACAAAGGGTTCTCAGAACATTCTCTGGTGGGCTCGTAGGGAAGCCAGGACTCTTCGCCACTGCTTGAGTCGCGCCGAGGCACGTTGGGCCAGACCCCGCGGGCGCGCCACGCTCAGCAGACGCGCCCGACCGTAAGGACCCCGGCTCACCCAGCTGCGGCGGCGCCAACGCGG